CCTGGGCTCCAGCCCTTTAAGAAAAAAAAAAATGAAGAAAAGCCCTGGGACTCACCGCTCCTGGTGCAGCCTTGGGGCTTCAGGGACTCCTGCAGAGCCCTCCACCTGGTGCGGGGCAGCAGCAGTGAGTCCCAGGGTTTCTTTAAGTTTTTTTGTCTTAAAGAGCCAGAGCTGGCCTGTGCGGGGCACCCGTGAGGGAGCTGGTGGAGCAGAGGGGGGAGGTTTGGGGGCTCCTGCAAAGCCCCCCATGCAGCGTGGGGCAGTGGGGGGCAGCAGGGTTCACCCCCCACCCAGCAGCACCTGCTGAACCTTTTTTCAGGGCTTTTTTTCCCCCAAGTGCTAGGAGCTGGGGCAGGCTGGGCGGACATTGCTGGGCTGGGACAGAGGCAGGGGATGGGCCTGGCCTGGCTGATTCAGGGATTTGGCTGGTACCGAATCTCCAAATCAGATTTGACTGAATCAAATCAGGACAGTGATTCAAATCACCGAATCAAATCACTGTCCCTCGAATCCGCCGAATCTGAAACAAATACTAGCCACTTTGCACAGGCCTAACATTCACAGCATGTAAAATTGTATGTAATACAAATCCATTAACTTCAGGAGAGCTTCACTGGCATAAAAAATGAGAAAGAGATTGGTGAAACAGACTGGAAGAGTTTTAAACAGCTTTACTAAAAATCCCTTTCCTTCACAATTGCTTTGCTTTCATTTTTCTGTGTCTTATGATGACATGACATTATTAGCTCTCCTATCCCCCTAGAGTAGGAATGTTCAACCTGCAGCCCAGGGTCCAGTTCCATGCCCAAAGCCATGATGTCTGGCTTGCAAGGATCTCCCTGGGTCAGAAAACTTGGCAGCGAGGGAGCATTGGCACCTCTCCCCTGCTGCCAAATTTCCAGACCTGTGGAAGCCCCAAGAACTGGATAGTACAGCCATGCACACTGCAGGACAGCAGAGAAATGGGTGAGGGCTGGCAGAGGCAGCATGGGACCCAATCCTGGCATGTGGAGACCAATCCAGCCTGCCGACTGGCCTCATACCACTCCTCCAGCCCAAAGGGCCAAAACGTTGAGCACCATTGCCACAGAGCCTTCCTTGGTAGGCAGAGACTTTCTTTATCTATCTAGCTATTCCCACACCAAATCTTTAGTAAACTGAATTTAATTTTGTAATCACATGTGTCCAGTGTGAGTACCTTTTATCTTTTAGGTACATGATCTGAAAAATGTAAGGTCCCCCAGGAGTTTGAAGTATGAATTTATAAGACTCCAACAGCACTCCGCCTATGACTGTCCCACAGGCATAGAAGGATACACCCTGTATTCCCTGTATAGGAGGGATCATGTTGGGAAGAAGGGCAGTGGAGTTACTCTCTATGTGAAGGACCATTATACCTCCCTAAAAGCAAAGACTGGAAATAAAGAAGGGCGACTTGAGACCCTATGCGGCAAGATACAAGGAGAGCACGGAGAAGAAGATTTGACCATAACAGTTTATTACAGATCTCCAAACCAAGAGGAACAGCTCAACCAGGAATTTTCTGGAGAACTGGCAGAGGCTGCACACTCCCGGAGCATGGTCACCCTTCAACTACCCAGACATCTTGTGGGATGAGCACCCAGATAGCTGAGCACTCACTGGTCAATGAGCAGGGGGGCGGGGGGTCCCCCAGAGGTCAGTCAAAGAGCAGGGGGGGCTCCCCAATGGCCAGTTGAAGTGTGCAAAAGCAAAACTGGAAGTCCTCCCATGGCACTTCCGGTTTTGCCACTGCAACTCGAGTCCCACCTAGAGGACCATTCCACCAGTTGAGAAATCCTACTTTATCTAACACAAGAAGTCTATGGGCCAACCAGGGGCAAGACACTCCTAGACTTGGTTCTGGCCAAAGGGGATGATCTAGTGAGCAACCTGAGAATTGAAGGGAAACTGGACGTCAGTAAACATGAGATGATCTCTTTCTTCATCCACTGTAAGTCAGAGAAATTGGTCTGTAAAGTAGAAATCCTTGATTTTAGGAAAGTTGACTTCCACAAGCTTAGGGGATTGGTGGTTGAGGTGGTGGGACCATAGTCCAATGAGGAAAGGGGTGCGAGAAGAGTGATCATTCCTCTAGGAAGCAATCCTAAAAGCTCAAAGAAATTCCATTCCCTTTTGTAAGAAAGGCAGCAAAAGGCTCAACAGAGCCTTGGCTCAACAGAGAAGTAATGGACTTCCTGAAATTTAAACAAGAAGCCTATAAAGGATGGAAGTCAGAAATACCTACCGAAGAGGAGTACTCAGCAACAGCCTGCACCTGTAGGGAGCAGATCAGGACAGCAAAAGCACAAACCAAATACAGATTGGCAACTAGAATCAAAGACAACAAAAAGTCCTTCTTTAGATATGTAGGAACTTGGAGAAAAAATAAGGGAAGCATAGGGGCCCTGCTGAATGAAATGGGATGGCTGATAATTGACACTCAGGACAAAACTGAACTCCTTAGTGAATACTTCACATTGGTATTCCATCAGTCCAAGGGTGTTAGCCTGCTTGACAGGATACAGGATGATCATGGTGGGGGTGACCAGTCCCCCATAGTTGGCATAGATCTTGGGGGGGAGCACCTACAAAGGCCAAATATCTGTAAGTCAGCAGGACCAGATGAACTACACCCAAGGGTGCTAAAAGAAATGGCCAAAGTCACTTTGCAACCAATGGCAAAGTTATTTGAAGACTCATGGCGCTTGGGAGAGGTCCCAGAAGATTGGAAGAAGGCCCATGTGGTGCCTGTCTTTAAGAAAGATAGAAAGGAGGACCTGGGAAATTACAGGGCAGTCAGTTTGACCTCAATCCCTGGTAAAATCCTGGAGAAAATTATCAAAGAATCCATTACAGACAGACTAGCAGAAGGCAGTATCTGAAGGATAGCCAACATGGCTTCATTACAGGCAGGCCATGCCAGACCAACTTCATTTCCTTCTGTGATCAGATTACTTGCCACCTGGATGGGGGAAATGAGGTTGATGTCATATACCTGGACTTCAAAAAGACCTTTGACCTGATCTCCCACAAAGTCCTCATGAAAAAAATTGGGAAAATGTGGCCTCAACTACTTTATGGTCCAGTGGCTAGGTAACTGGCTCTGTGGTAGGACTCAGAGAGTATTGACTGATGGAACCAAGTCATCATGGCAGAGGGTGACCAGTGGCATCCCTCAGGGTTCTGTATCAGTGCTTTTCAATGTGCTTATCAACAATTTGGATTTGGTTTTGGGTGAACTAGCAAAGTTCTCTGATGACACCAAACTATGGGGGAATGTGGTCATGCTTGAAGACAGGCTGGCAATACAGGCTGACCTGGACAAGCTTGTGAGGTGGGCAGACCTCAACCAGATGTCGTTTAATATGGAGAAATGTGGATTGCTCCATCTGGGGAGAAGTAATTCACAACATACTTAGAGGCTCAGCAGTGCTACGCTTGCTAGCACCGCATATGAACGAGACCTGGGTGTCGCGATAAACGACACAATGAACATGAACCACCAGTTAAATGCTGTAGCTGGCAGAGCTCGTGAAACACTGGCATGCATCTGCCAAGGCCTCTCAAGCAAGGCTAAGGGTGTCATCCTCCCTCTCTACTCAGCCCTGGTGAGACTGCAGCTGGAGTACTGCATCCAGTTCTGGGTGCCGCACTTCAGGAAGGATGTGAAGAAGCTTGAGAGAGTCCAAAGGAGGGTCACATACGTGATTAGAAGCCTAGAAACCAGGTCATACAAGGAGAGGCTGAAAAACTTGGGACTGTTCAATCTGGAGAAGAGAAAATTCAGAGGGGACTTGGAGGCAGCCTATGAGTATATCAAGGGCGTACATCAGGGCCTGGGGGAGCATATGTTTACCAAGGCCCACCAGGGAGGACAAGAAATAATGGGCACAAGCTGATTGAGGATTGCTTCAGGCTAGCCATAAGGAAAAACTTATTTACAAGTCGAGTACCGAGGGTTTAGAACAGTCTCCCCCCAGAGGTAGTACAGTCATACACCCTGGTGATCTTCAAAAAGCGTCTTGATGCCCATCTTGCTGGGACCATCTGATCACAGCAGTCTTTCCTGTCCAAGTGCAGGGGGGTTGGACCTGATGATCTGTAAGATACCTTTCAGACCCTAACAACAATAACTATCAACTATCAAATAGTACACTTAAAACCCCTAAACTACCTTAACTCTGCCCCATCAAGATGCAGTCTGTCACCTTGTTTTCTTTGCCTTCAAAACACTACAAACTTGAAACACTGAACACGTTTTTTCCCCATTTGTATCTAGTACACATCTTTGATGATTTATCCATACTCAAGCCCCATAGGGTTTTGTTTTTTAAATACTCTAATTCCATTATATATATGTATGAGTCTTGAACATAGAGCCAGATTGGTTTGTATCTAATAATCAAGCAATATGAAAGTACCGTGCAAAATCCTGAGATTACAGTTAGTATAGTCAAAAGAGAAAAGTTATTTGCATAAATAACCTTCCTTAATTTTTTTTTAGCAAAGTCGTTAGGCATTGTTTATATATCATTAAAAATATAAAGGTAACCAGCTTATTTTGTCCTTGCAATCAGATTTATAAGGAAACACATATTTAGATCACTTAGGCTCTTTTTGTAGTTCTCTGTTTATACTGAACCAAGAATAATGGAGTTATTTGTCTGGGCCTAGGGTTCCTAGATGCTACTATACTAAATAATAATAATTATAAAGATATAACAAGAAAATGCAAGAGATGATAAAAAATTTAAACAATAAATTGTGCACTGAAAAAAATGGTCAGAAATGTTGTTTCTAATGAGATGTTTCAGTTTTTTCCTTAGAAATTTCCAAACAAAATAAAAAATCCTTTTTTTTCTTCAAATTGTGTGTGGGGGGGGGGGTTGGTTCAGCTCAGTTTTCAGAAATAAAACAAAAATTTTAAAGATTATTCAATAAGAAAATGTTGCTTTGTTTTAAATTTTCACACAGAAGATTTCCACAGTTTTAACAGGCATCTGGGCAAGAACATGTCATTCAAAATGTTACTGTGGAAAAAAGTATTCAGGCAGTTCCATTCAAATGCAAAGAAAAATGTATTGTTCGGGGCTCTTTTGTACTTACACAATATGTAGTAAAATGCAAAGCATAGAATGTTGGATGTTGTGTTCAATACTTTTTTTGTCTGTAGTGTACTGCCTGACAGCATGATGTGCTGCCTCTGCAAAATACAAAAGGATATTGAAATGTCATACAAGATGATCAAGTTACAGTGTGTGGATTCGTGTGTCACCAACTCCTCTCTTTGTGGTAGGTGTGCAGTTACTAAACACCATTTTCAAAGTAGACTCTGTAGAAGTCTTGTGCAAGTCTGCAACCCCAGCAAAAGTTGTCACTACCTTGGGCTGCCATGATTGATGGGTGGTCAGTCTGGTACTTTTCAGCCAATTCCAGGGGCATCTCTGCTGCAGTGGTACTAGGGCTACATTAGCACTGGCAGTTGTAATGCCATTGTAAATGTGGGGCCATTTAAACACCCTGAAAGTCAGCTGAGCATGGGCCTTTATAAATCTTAGTAAGTCTTGTCTATCCCCAGCAGACCATGGAAAGCCTATAGATTTTCCTTTCAGAAAGTGATCTTAAAGAAATAACGGCTGAAGCTTACTTGTAATTAAAAACAGAAAATGTCAAATATCATCTTGGAAGAGACTGGTTTGTTCAATTAAATAAGCATCACTGATTCCAACCAGCACATTTATTTCCATACCAACAAAATTTCAGGCTTTGTGTTGCATCTGCAGCCATCCCTTCAAACCAGCTTTTTAATACCCTAGACTCATAACTGAAAATGTATGTTCTGCATTCTACTGCTCCTTGGCAAGCTATTCATCTGTTTCAGATATTTGATGAGGAAGTATCCATCATGTCTAGGGACCTACTGGCTGAAGTGGGCTGCACAGCAGCTCCTTTAATCTTGCAGGTTCCCCCACACACCCCCTCTGCCTGCCCCCCTCCCTATCCCCAGTTCCTGATTAGCTGTTCCAGTTGCCCTGCTGCTTCTTGCTGACCGGCCAGGAGGCAAAAACGGTGCTGTATTTAAAACCACGGTTTTCACCTCCCTGCCGATCAGAAGGAAACAACGGAGCCCCACCACCACTCGGGGGGGAGGCGCATGTGGGGGAACCTGAAAGATTAAAGAAGCTGCTGTGCAGCCCACACCTGCTGCAAATTCAGTAGGCCCCTGGTCATGTCCTTGAAGCCTTCTCTCTCTAGTACTGTATTATGCTACAATTTCATAGGAGATATAGAAAAGAGATGATGTATAAACATCAGTCTGTTCAGGCCCCAAGAGATGGATTGATTGATTTAACAGGACTTTTCCTTTCTCTAGCTTATCTACTAAATATTTCAGGTGGGGTTTTCTTTAATATACATTCCCATTGAGTTGTTCCGTTATATTAAGTAATGGGTATTTGTTGCCTGGCATAAATCTGTGATCCTATATTTTGCCAGAAATGTCTTCTTGACTTAGGGGGATATCTATCTTCTCTCTCTCTCCTTTTCTGAGCAGCAGACAAAGAGCATTTGGAAAAGATGCAGAAAGAATTAAAAGAAGTGCTACAATCCAGGAACCCAAACATAAGTGTGGTGTTACATCTTAAGTCTGAAAAATCTTTACGCTCAAAGAGTGACAGTGACATCCTATCACTTGCAACCTTCCAGCACCGGACTACTATTGCTGTTGAGGATCTTATTTCTGGGTTAAATGACAATTACCCTAGGCCTCTCTTCAAGAAACCTGACAAAAATAGCACAGAGCTGGAAGTCTTGCCATTTTTCAAACTGTTCAAAATTGACTTACACATAAAAGGCTCAAATCGTTTAAAACAACCTAAAGATCAATCAAATCTGAACTGGGCCAATTTAAGTGAACTGAGAAAACTATATCTGTTGGCAAATCTGCTAGCAACGGTGCTCCAAGAAAAACTACATGAGGCTGAAAAAGACAAGGGAAAAAAGGAAGCCAGACATGTGTCCCTGACAACGCCAAACAAGCACTTGAAAACCAAAAAGATTTGTAAGGACCTTGCACAGAAATGCGATGAGAAACTAACTGGATACATGGCTGCAAAGAAAACTCCTGAAGAAATAAAGGAATGTGTTGATTATATGTGGAGATGTATAAGTAAAGGCGGGGATAACCAATTAAGGATGGTAAAGAGAGAGGTCCTGCAAATCAAAGGAAGCAAAGGAATGCTAGCTGTGACTTTAAAACCCTCCAGCACACTATCTGTTCTTAGGCATCATAAAGTATCTATTCCTTCCTTCAGGAAACGTTCCCTTTCAGACCTCCCTACACAGGAAACACACTTGACTGGCTCCTTTAAGGTTGAAAATGAGTCTCATGACTTATCAGGTAATATCATCATTGTCTTGAAACACCACAATAAAACTGAAAAAGTGAAGCATCCACCTGTTAAAGAGTACGTTAACATTTTCTACCAACCTAGCCAGCATAGAAATAAAAATCAATATCGCCTAGAGAATACACTTCAGAGACAGAGTCCGTACATGAGTCGTATGCTGAAGGAAAGTACGCAGCGCTACAAGATGAAAAGTAAAGATGATGAACTGGATAATCTATTACCCAAAAATCCTGTTTTCACAAGCAGGACAGCTATGGTGTTGGAAAAGCCACCAGAAGATGAAAGAAGCTTGCTAGATGGAATCTTACCCGACATCCAACAAACTGATGAAACACGCTGGAAGCATCGGAAAGAGGAATGGAAGGATCAGAAAGAGGAATTGGATTTTCCGTCTGAAATAAGAAATGCATCCCCCCCAGATAATTACTCGATTCAAGGAGACATATTTGAAGCGGAGCTCAATAAACGATTGAGCACCCTCATCCCAAACAAAGCTGTGAGGGACCTCATCTCCCACGTGATTAGAACCCTGAAAATGGACTGTGCTGAGCCCAGTGTGCAGCTGGCCTGTGCAAAGCTCATCTCTAAAACAGGCCTGCTCATGAAACTGTTCAGCGAGAAGGAAGATCTCAAAGGAAGCTCCTCTTTGTGGAGCCACTATCTCTGGGAAGTGGACAGCTCTTCCGATGAGAGAGAAAAGCAGAAGGTGGCAGGCAAGAAGCTTTCAGAGGAAGTAAGCAATGAGATAACCTGAGAAGTGTTTCCCTCTGAGCAACAGCCAGTCGAGAAAGTGACTTTTCTCTCCTATTTTGTTTCTGTTTAATAGCTTTCCAAGGACTCTTCTAAATATGGCTATGGTAACAAGCTGCTGTTGGCAATATCAGTGACTGTTGTGGTAATGGCTGTTATTGCAGTGATTTGTATCATTGAGGTGAGTCAAAAATCCATTTGTCTATTATATAAGTAGTGGTAGCTGTAGTGTACAGGAATAGTGTAGTATCCCTTTAAATCAGGGGCGGGCAATCATTTTGGGGAGAGGGCCACTTACTGAGTTTTGGCAAGCCATTAAGGGCCGCATGAGAGGCAGCCCAGGGTAGATAAATACTAATTTTCTAAATTTTTTTAGGAGGCTCACAAGCTGGATAGAATGGCCTGGCGGGCCGCATCTGGCCCCGGGGCCGCATTTTGCCCACCCCTGCTTTAAATGGGCTGTGAGCCTTGTGGTTTTCATTGTGTTTTGTGTTTTAGAAGCTGCCAAAAGCCAATCAGAGCAGATAGCTGTAGGTAGGTAGGCCTGGGTGATTTGTGTATAGCTATTAAATGCAGTGATTTGCTCTGTGCCTGTGTGGTTTCTTACTTCTTAGAAGGAAGTAGCTCCTCCCCGCTCTTGCTGCCTGGTCATAGATAGGGCAGTAGTAAAGGACTAAATACAAGGACACAGTGGTAATGGTTACAGATAGGGGTCAGACCCAATTTCCACATATTTGCATTTTTTTATTATCTTGTAATCCTGGTACCAGTGCACTACAACCACCTTTGCTTCTCAGCTTATACTTTTAATGTTCTGGAGGTGGCATCTTTCTTTTTAGTGGGTATTTGGATAGTACAGGGCTATATACAAAGAAAAATACCATACACGTAAGTAGGGCAGATTGGTCCATGCAAGAAATTGGTAGTTAAAGTCAGTGGGACTTTTTTGCTTGAGCAAAAACTGCAGGATCACGGCTGTGTCACCAGTATGTGTCCTGATAGTATCACCCTGTTGTGTGCACCTGACACATTCCCAGGAGGGTGTGTTCCCTGTCCTGTATTTTAAGAGCCAGTTGTGTCCAACTGTACTGCATGTACAAGACATGAGGGGGATGCAAAAAAGCGATTTCTTCTAAATTCCTGGAATGCACAAGGGCAGTCCCTGTAGTCTCCAGACTATGGGGACTGCTCCCTCCTGCTCTGTCATGGGGACAGCAAGATACCCCAGTGTAGGGGAAGGGATGGAAAGGAGGTCAGGCCCTGCCCCCAGTTAGCAGAAATGGCTAGGCATAGCAGAAGCAGCATGCTGTACCCCAAGAAGGGGTGTAGCTTTATTTCATGACCAACAGCTCACTGTCTCCTACGCATTTATGGTGGTAGTATACAATGAAAAAATACCTAGCAGTTGTTGTTTCAGGGTTTTTTTCGCCCCTCTTCCTGTACAGGTTTGTTCCCAAAGATCTGCAGCAGCATCTCAGTCAAAAAATAAATCACAACCAAGATGGTAATTATTCTCTTTCTTCCATACTGCTGTTGTATAACGCAGATAACTGTTTTACTTTAGATAGTATTTAGAGTGTTGCAAACGTTGTACGTTGGAGAATCCAAAGACACTCATTTGGATATGTTTAAAAAACTGCTCTACATTTTGCAAAGAGACTCAGTGAGAGATTTCAACAGCTGACTACCAAGTTTGAGGATTCAGCAAAAGTCCAACCAGCATACCACAGGTTGCTCTTCTCCATGTTTCTTGTTTGGTTAAATGCAGGTGGCAGTTATACCATTAGTTGCAGATGTTTATTGCTGTTGTTCATTCTCAGGCCCACCTAGCTGCTGATAATAGACCAGTTTGTCCTGGACTCCACTGCAGCTCCCACCTATCTGAATTGATTGATATGTCCATAGTTATTTGGGAGGAAACTATTCTTTTTCATGAATGTCTTTACGATCAGTGTGATGCTCAGTGATGCCACTTCTGGGTTGGGGTACAGGAGAATTTTAATCTAACCTGACAAATAAATTAGCAGACTCCTTGGCCCTTTGCACTGCCTCTGCACCCTGAGGGTCCAGGATTTATCTAAGGGATGGTAATAGGATTTTTGTGGGAGCCACTTGTTAACAGACTGACAGCCCATCAGTACTCAGAGCTTCCCTTGCCTGGGTGTCCTCCTCTGTCTTGAATGCCTGAAAGGACACGTCTAAAGTCTTCCACTCTTGCACTCAGGAATACTGTTTATTCTGTCTGTCAGTTTTGTTTCAGCATCATTACTAACAGGGGCCCTAAGGAATATTACTTATCTCTGTTGTACAGCATTAAAATGAAGGGAACTTGAAATAAGTTGTCTGGGGTCATCACCCTATTGCTTTTGGCATATCTCATTACCTGGATTAGCTTTTGTGACCCCTTTGTTCCTCTGGGTCTTTTGCTTGTATGCCTCTCACAACACTCCCCTTTCCCCTCCCCACACCCTCTCCCTCCTGCCTTTTGTACCCTAATCAGTCATTCTGCTCTCTGCTGTCCTGTCATGGCATCTAATGAAGTGAACTTGGGTTTGTGAAAGCTTGTGCTCTCTCTATATATCTTTAGTTAGTCTATATAGGTGTGTATCTCTACTGCCTTGTGCCATATTGGACATCACTGGAATTATGAGGGCCGAGCAAGTCTATGGTATTACTACTTTCTTCCTTAAGCATCATTGCAAGGCCTTAGTCTTACTAATCACATCTGCTCGATCCTAACACTATTTTCCTGAGGCACTGTACATGTGTACAGGAGCTCTGTTGGCAAGCTGAATGATAGAGCCCAGCATATCATGTTCACAAGAAGGACCAACCTGTCTACAGAGTCCTGCAAAACATCCATATGCAAGAACCCTGATGCTGTCTGCACTCCTGCAGAGGTTTTCCATGTTTCTGGTCTCTGGTGGGACAGGTGGCAGGCCTGCTTCCCCAGGGCAGCAGTGTCAGGAGCTGCTTCCCATCTCTTGCCTCTGAGATCTGCTTCTCCTTCTCCTGCTCCATCTTTGTGTTCTCCATTTCTGCTTCCTTGGACCTAGCATTTCTTCCTGTACTCCTATCTGCTTCACTTCAGATTCCCTCTATTTCTCTGCCCTGTTTTACCTCTCTCTCCCTCCTACCCCAAAACACAAACTGCTTTGCCACAAGGTGGGAAATAGGCACAGGGCTTCTGATCTTCTTAGTGAAGGATCTTCTCCTGAGGGAAAGTGCCAGAAAGTGCCAGAAACAAATTTGAGAACAGAATTGTTTGGTCCACTCCCTTGACTTGCACTCTCTTCAGCTTCACTCACCCAGCCCTTTCGTCTCTTGGCTCCTATTCCCAACACTACTATACCCTTCCCCTCCAAAAATGTAAAAAGATAATTTCAAAAGTCTTCAGGTCTTAGGTGATCTTTGACTCTATAATGACCAGGGCCAGTGCCATAGCGAGGAGGGTGGGGGGGGAAGGCTAGCGGGACAACCACCCCAGATGCCGAAGTGAAGGGGCACCAATGGGCACTGCCCAGTTGGGGAAGGGCATGGGACAGAGCCATGAGCTTCTTGTTTGGGTGGGGGGGCGCTGTGGGGAGGGTGGCTCCCACTGCTACATGCACTCTTGGGCAAGCATGAGTGGGGGGGCATGTGCCCCCTGGATCTGTGCACAGAGTGAGGGTGGGCTGCCGCTACAGGCTTTACCTCGGGCACCAAATTTCCTTGCCACAGCACTGACCAGGGCAACAAAGTCATGGTCTGCGTAGGAGTCTTCTGTAAAGCACACAAGTAACAACAACAGAGGAGGACACACAGCTACTAGAGCAGACACTGGGCCAATCCACAGTTCATATAAATCCCAAGTTGATATACGTTCCTACAAAAAGGTTAGCTATCAGCTGAAAGGCCACTGGGCACAAGCAAGCTTGACTGCTGTCTCATGCCAGTGTAACAAAACAAAAAAGAAAGGAATATAGTGCTACTGAGATGTCTTTTCTCCCAGGCCCTGGCTGAGCTGTGCAGATTATCAGAGGATATCTCTGTAGAGCTAATGAGGTTGTTTGCCCTCACTATGGCAATTGGAATGTGGGTCTAGAATCCTATGGCTATGATGGCTAGGAGATTTCTTTTGATTTCCAGACAAAAATTATTTGTGGCCTATTTTGCCCGATTTGATCTTATGCCAACATTGTCCTTTAGCTCAAATAGCCCATCTTTTGTTGTGTTCCAACTGTCCTCTTTTTGAGTCCCAACAATACTTAAAAAGACAGCTGCTTTATGCTGGTAAGGAAGGGCCCCTGTTGTCATGTGTAGCCAAACCTTAGTCATACTGGTTTGTAAATGTACTGAGAGGCAAATTCTTTGAGAACGAAGACACTTGGAGGCTTTTCACCCTCATACTTTGCTTTTACTTAAAATCCATTAAATCCAAAAGCATCACAAGAGTTTGAGCAACGAAACCAGGTGCTGACTCTTGTCAGAGCAGCAGCCAGGCAGGACAGTGCTTAGACAGCATTTTCCCAAAATTAATTATAATTAATAACTTGCTTTTTTCCCCCCAAGGTCCTTTCAGAAACTCTCACAAGGCAGTCAGAGAAAAAACACACCTGAAATGGTAAAAAAAAGATGGATATTTAAAGCCCCTGTCCCTTAATTGTACTTACTCACTTAGTTGACAATTCAGCATGGCATCATTTGGTTTGCTGTGTTTTTCAGGTCTCTAAGGCACCAAATCTTACAAATATGGATAAACCACTTTGGCTTAGAGATATGTATCTACCACTGGATACTGTACGTAAAAAATCCATGGCACAGAAATTATATGATGAAGGTTCCTCAGGTGAAGAAGAAATTTTCAACAAGGCTTATTTAAGGTATATGAAATACTAGCAAAACCTAAACTTAGCACACTGTTTTCCATTAATGCACTAGTTCTTTAGAGCCATATAGACACTAGGATACAGTTCGACTCTTCCCTTGGTGACTCCACATCACACTATCCTAGAATGTGTCCCACAATGTACTGGGAATGCCTGCCAACCTTGGGACAGCTAAGGCTAAGATAAGGCTAAGATTGCACAGAAGTACAGTGTCTTAGCACTGCTTCCAAGGCCTGCCCTCAAAATCAGGCTAGGTGCCCCTCCTTGTGTGTACTGCAGAGACCCCACAGGCTGGGAGTGAGAACAATATAAGAGTGAGCCCACCTGCTCAAATCTCCCTGCACATTCCTTTCCCAATGCCAAGGAGTGGAACAAAGACACTTTCCTACGATCAGGAAGATGGGATGGTGGATGTGGTATACAGCTGCTGCTGCAGTCTTTCAAATGGTTCCACCCAACCTATGGTCACAGTAGAGGTGGCAGAACCCAGGGCTCTGTTTCATTCCCAATAGCATATTTTTTTTCATTTTAAGTTTGTCATTTCAACTTCTTCATTGCATGGAATAGCCTGGTCTATGGCACTGGGCTTTCATCTTCCCTTTTAAGCAACTAAGTACCAATCAGAAACAATTGTTATGAGTTTCATAGAATCATAGAAAGTTAGGGCTGGAAGGGACCTCAGGAGGTCACATCTAGTCCATCCCCTGCTCAAAGCAGGACCACCCCAACTAGATCATCTCAGCCAAAGCTTTGTCTAGCTGGGCTTTGCAAACCCCCAAGGATGGATCTTCCACCACCTCTCTGGGTAACCTGTTCCAGTGTTTTCCTACCCTCCTAATGAGAAAATTCTTCCTAATATCTAACCTAAACTTCCTTTGCTGCGACTTGAGCCCATTGCTCCTTGTTGTATCATCTGCCACCACTGAGAACAGTTTCGCTCCATCCTCTTTCGAACCCCCCTTTAGGTAGTTGAAGACTGCTATTAAGTCTCATCTCAGTCTCCTCTTCTATAGACTAAATAAACCCAGTTCCACCAGTCTTTCCTTATAAGTCATGTCCCTCAGCTCCATCACCATTTTTGCCCCTCACCATGTTTCTTCACCAGCTTTCTCTAAGGGTTATAATAACAAGTAACTGAGATAACAAATGTATGCATGTGCAGCTGATGTTACTACGGTGTTCAGCCCCCAAGTTTGGAAGACTCTGAAATCACTCTCCTACTCTCTTATTCTAAAAAAGCCCTTGCAGAGCTTTTTTCCTGTGTATGTAGTAGAGAGATGATAAAGCTGAACTCACAGCTCTAGTAACAGCATTAATTCTACCTTAGCATCCTCCTAAATTAAATGGACAGCTACAAGTTCATCACTAGAAGAGGTAGTTTATAGCCTCCTATAGTGATACTACCAAATCATACTCATATTTAGGTAATAGGAAGAAAGTATTGTTACTTATATGAAAATCCAATTTTTCCTGTAGTTGAAAAAATCTTTTAATTTCTTATTTTTTAATTCAGGAAAGGAACTGAGCAGTCATCTGACAACGAAAGCTACTAATTGTATTTCTGTGACTATACCATATATCAAGAATACTATGTTATAAAGTTGCTTTATATTATCCAGATAAAAACAAAATATTATCTTCAGAATATACTACTAAACCCTTGAATATACTATTAAATATATTATTAAATACATTTCACAGATTAAGTGTGAGATTTGTGCTAACTAAAATATACCCAGGGAGCTGGGTTGTACCAAAAGTGCCAAACCCTTTCCCACTAATCCCACTCCCTCAGCTCCCCACACAAAATCAGAGCACTAAAATGTCATTTGCCATGATCATACTTATTGTTCTGTTTGCTTGTGTGTTATGTCAATTTCCCCTCCATACCACTTTTAGGAGATGAATGGGTAAATACATAGTTCATTTCATAAATGGCAAAACAGCAAGGAAAGTGAAGGGACTTGCATGATACTGGGTCTATCTACACAAGACGCTTTACTGCACAGTAAAGCAGTTTACTGCGCAGTAAGCATGCATGTCTACATGTGCACGTTTACTGCTCAGTTAACTGCTCTAATTACAAGTAAATTTGCTATCTGCAAATACAAGTAGCAAATTTACTTGCGAGTAGTTACTGTGCAGTAGATCTCATAGACGCCTGGCCGGGCAATGTACTCCTGGTCAGCCAGGCAGCAGGAGGCAGGAGACTGCTTCCTGCCCCCAGGAGCTGCCTGTTGCTGGGGCAGGTTTTGCCACCAGAGTCCAGGCAGGTCTATGTCCCCCTGCCCCAGCAGCAGGGAGTTCCCAGGCCCTATTCTAAGATCAGTGTCAGGGACCAGGGGCTGGGAGTTCCTTATCTCCCCACCCCAGCTTTGCCATTGAGATCAGGAAACGGGTCTGGGAGATCCTTATCTTTCAGCGTCAGCAACGCAGTTGCAAAGCTGGCTGGGTGATAAGGACCCTCCAGCCCCAGCTCCATGATGGAGGAGCAGGGGTTGGGAACTCCCTACCGGCAGAGTCTGAGGACTCTGTTCCCTGCCCAGCTCTGATTGCAGAGCTGGGTGGGGAACAGGTGCAGGGCTGGGCAGGGAACAGACATGTGAGCTGAGGGGCCACGTATAGACAAAGCCCCCCAATTCCCAGTTTTAGGCATATTACTACAGACCACAATGCCAAAGTCTAATGAATCTCCCGAGCAACTCTCCTCTGACTTTTGCTCCATTTGTCTGTCCTCAGCATTTCTGGAAATCAGTGCTGGGGCAGCTCAGTTTGGACACCCAGAGAAAGAAGGCACATGCGGCTAGGCCCAGGTTCCCCAAGGAGCTCAACATGCAACATTACTTCCATGTGAATGCAGGGATTTGCCTGGGATTACAGCATAGGGGGAGGCACAAGTTGTGTTTCTGCTTTAACAATTAGTTCCTCTTGCATTTGCCAACCTTTGTCTCAACCCCACAACCAGAACTTTTACTCCTGCTATTAAGCATTTCTGGAGAGAATCTAGAGATCATATTTGTTCATGCTCAGAGCACCCTCTGTAGCACTTTCACTGACTGGAATACTTTAGCTGCCTCCCAGCAGCCAGAAGTCACACGTAGACACTTGCCTGCCTTCTGCTGGCTGCCAGGGACAATTCCATACTGCACTTTTTATGCTCTGGCAGCAGCACATTTGGTCAGCAGAGCTAGGAGAAGTACATGGATTTGAATGTGCCTCGCGGTTTGGTGGTGACAGCTGCTACGTGCTGACTGAGCCTCTTCAGTTACCACTACTTTTCCCTTGCTCAATCTCAGCCTGGCTGCCCTCACAACAGCTGAAATTTTTCCAATTTAAGAAGTCCAAGAAAAGGAAGATGCATCAGGAAAATGCCCTCTACAGAACTGACAAAGTTTTAAAATAAATTGTGCAAGGCAAGGATTCCTTAGGATGATGTCTTTTATTGGACCAACTCTACAGCTATGTTAGAGTTAGACAAGCTTTCAAAGTCAAGCCATTCTACATCAGATCTGACCAGAAGAGATCACAAGCCAAATACAGCATTGTAAAAAACAACTATAGGAAGGGGTGAGAGAAACTGCCAGGGGTAGAATCACAGAAAATTAGGGTTGGAAGGGACCTCAGGAGGTCATCTAGTCCAACCCCCTGCTTAAAGTAGGATTGTCCCCAACTACATCCCAGCCAAGGTTTTGTCTAGCCGGGTCTTAAAAACCTCCAAGGATGGAGATTCTACCACCTCTCTGGGTTGCCTATTCCAGTGCTTTACTACCCTCCTAGTGAGAAAGCTCTTTTTAATATCTAACCTGAACTTCCTTTGCTGCAACTTGAGACCGTTTTTCTGTTATCTGCCACCACTGAGAACTGCCTACTTCCATCCTCATTGGTACCACTCTTTGGGTAGCTGAAGGCTGCTATTAAATCCCCTCTCAGTTTTCACTTCTGTAGACTAAATAAGGCCAGTTCTCTCAGCCTCTCCTCATAAGTCACATGCCCCAGGCCACTAACCATTTTCATTGCACTGTACTGGACTCTCCAATTTGTCTACATCCTTTCTGTAGTGGGGGGCCCAAAACTGGACACTACTCCAGATGCGGCCTCACCGGTGCTGCATAGAGGGGAAGAATCACTTCCCTTGATCTGACAATGCTCCAACTAATGCAGCCCAGTATGCTGTTAGCCTTCTTGGCAACAAGGACATACTGTTGGATAATATTCAGTTTAGTGTACACTGTAACCTCCAGGTCCTTTACTTCAGAGCCGCTGCTTAGCCAGTTGGTCCCCAGCCTGTATCAGTGCATGGGATTGTTCAGTCCTACGTGGAGGACTTTGCATTTGTCCTTATTGAACCTCATGTGATTTCTTTTGATCCAATCCTCCAATTTGTTGAGGTCACTCTGAATCCTAGCCCTATCCTCCAGTGTATCTACTGCTCCCCCTAGTTCGGTGTCATTTGCAAACTTGCTGAGGGTGCACTCTATGCCACCTTCCAAGTCATTGATGGAGATATTGAAAAAAATGGCTTCAGGATCAACCCCTGAGGATACTCCAGTTGATACTGGCTGCCAACTGGACATTAAAGCCATTGACTACTACCCTGTGAGCCTAGTGATCCAGCCAGCTTTCTATCAACCTTACAGACCATTTAACCAACCTGTACTTCCTTATCTTGCTTGCAAGAATGTTGTGGAAGAGCATATCAAAAGGCTTGTTAAAGTTTAAGGTATGTCATGTCCACTGCTCCTTCCCACATCCACTGAGCCAATCATCTCATCATAGAAGGCAATGAGGTTGGTCAGGCATAACTTGCTCTTGGTGAATCCATGCCGACTGTTCCTAGTCACCTCCTTCTCCTCCAAAGGTTCTTAGAAATGGATTCCTTGGGGACCTGCTCCATGATTTTTCCAGGGACTACGTTGAGGCTGACCAGTCTATAGTCCTCTGGACCCTCCTTCCCTTTCTTAAAGATAGACACTATATTTGCCCTTTTCCAGGCTTCTGGGACCTCTTGCAATTGCCATGAGCTTTCAAAGATGATGGCCAGAGGCTCTGCAATCACACTGGCCAATTCCCTCAGCGTCCTAGGGTGCATCCCATCCAGCTCCATGGACTTGTGCATGTCCAGCTTTTCTAAATAGCCCCTAACCTGTTCTTTTACTACAGTTGGCTGCTTACCCCCTCCCAAAACTGTGCTGCCAGGTGCAATAGTCTGGGAGCTGACCATACCTGTGAAGACTGAGGCGAAAAAGGCATTGAATACCTCAGCCTTTTCCTCGTTGTCTGTCACTAGGCTGCCTCCCCGATTTAGTAATTGCCCCACACTTTCCCTGATCTTCCTCTTGTTGCCAACATACTTGTAGAAACCCTTCTTATTACCTTTCATGGCCCTTGCCAACTGAAACTCCAGTAGTGCTTTGGCCTTCCTTAGGTCATCCCTGCATGCCTGAGCAATACTGTTATACCCCTCCCTAGTTGTTTGTCCAAGTTTCCACTTCTTGTAAGCTTCCTTTTTGTGCATTTTAGCTCACTGAAGGGTAGCAGGCATACAACTGGCAGAAGAAAGCAGCTCATCACTGCGAGATCACGGTCTATTAAAAAGAGAAGAGGGTCTTTCTCACCTTTCATGTGTGAAAATGCATCTCCCTAAGAAATCCTGGCATAATTTATGGACCATCATGGCTACACAATCATTATGACAACGTGTCATGATTTCAGTTACACAAAGTGGTGAGTTCTCGGCGGGGGTGGGGAAAACACACGTGAATTCTCCTAATTTTTCCAGCCAACTCCCCTTTGCACCCTTGTGCAGCATCAAGGCCAGAAACAACCACTCTGATCAACTGCTCTGCTCTTTGGGCAGCACAAAGCTGAGACTTCCCCCTCAGATTCCCGGGCCAGCCCAGGCCCTTTGGGGTTGAGATGGCGCTTGTCTTTTCAAAAGAGAGCTGCCCTGGATTCAAAGATTCAAGCATCAGCAAACCTCCCATATCCCCACGCAGTCTGCTCCATAGCAAATGACCCTCCCTGCCGAATCCTGGTTGTGGCAGGAGAGTTGTACAGGGAAAGCATTTGGAAAGCAACCTTTTAGACTTGAAGCATCCTTCTTAGACCCCAGGTGCCCCTCAGAAGTTGCTGCCTCTCCATTTCCACTGGGTTTTTTGATGGTGGCAAAATAACGGAGCGAGTCTTCTGTCTGAAAGCCGCCTTTGCGCCAGGCGCCTGCGGGTTTGTCTCGCGAGTAGCCCATGGGTGCTCCCGTCGCGCGGGGCTCAGGGCAGCGTGTCCGCGACCCCGCGGGCTCCGGACGGAGATGTCTGGGTGTCGGTTGCCAGCCCCGCTCGCAGCGCCCGCCGCACCCGGGCAGGGATCGCAAGGTAGCCCGGTCCGGCATGGCTCCGG